AATATGAACAACTTACCATATATGGGCAAGTCGATATGAACAACTTACCATATATGGGCAAGTTGATATGAACAACTTACCATATATGGTCAAGTCAATATGAACAACTTACCATATATGGGCAAGGCAATATGAACAACTTACCATATATGGGCAAGACAATATGAACAACTTACTATATATGGGTAAGACAATATGAACAACTTACCATATATGGGCAAGACAATATGAACAACTCACCATATATGGGCAAGACAATATGAACAACTCACCATATATGGGCAAGTCAATATGAACAACTCACCATATATGGGCAAGACAATATGAGCAACTTGTCATATATGGTCAGGATAATATGAACAACTCACCATATATGGGCAAGACAAGCCTGAGGAATACAATACTGGAGAAATGTTTGCCTAACTTCATCCCCAGTCACTAATCCATCATTATCAGTATCCAATCTTTTGAATATATTATCATAATGAGCTTTATCTTGGGCGGAGACAACCCACGTTGCTGGTGTTTTCAAATGAGCCTGAAATTAATTGAGAATCAGATTTGATTGTCAGTATAAAAGTCAAAAATATGCAAAAATGAGCACAAAAAACAAAACAAAAATAGTTATTGAAAATAGACACCTGCATATAGTCTCATGAATTAGTAAGTCAGAGTCAAGTTCATGTCAAGAATATTCATGCCAAATTGTTGAAAAAAAATCATCATTTCTGACCAAAAATATTCCCTAAAAATAGATATTTTGATGTGATATCATGAAATCAACAAATCTGACAGAGTAGCTGTAGCACAGGTACATTTTGTGTAGCTGTGCTATAAATAGCAAGGTGATCTAGCTTAGGGTTTGGGAGAAGAAGTCGCTTGAAAAAAAGTTGACGGACAGACAATGACAGGTCCAGTCAACCCATGAGCCCCGCTCGGTCATATTCGAAGACAGCGAAACTAACAATACAGCAGAATGTATGCAAAGCATGAAGCATGTATAAAAGACAGACACATGAACTCAATCAGGCATGCATGCATGGAGGGGAATCCACAAATAGCTGATTTTAGACTTTCTCCAAAAAAATAACTAATAACATGCTATTTCAACATAGTATGAAATTTAAGAAGTTTGAAAGAAATCATCCCGTCATCCCAGAATATTGTTATTATTAGGATTTGATCAAAAATAAAATGCTGTGCATTTGATGACATCATATATTGTAACAGAAAATTAACATGGCAAGTCTGAGAAATAACTTTGAGGGCTTGGTACAACTACATACGAGTTTTTCAGCAATTAGAAAATTAACAATTTGATTTAAAAAGTCAGCAATGTCACAGTGTGACTAAACCACTGTGATATTCAGGATGCTGGCTGTGATGGTGTCAAACCAGTGGGGCGGTAAAACAAAGCACTGCGCTGGAGGACACTGTGGCTCCAGGCACATATGCATAAATCCTAAAGTAATAATCTCTTCTGTAACACTTTGAATAAGAGTTTAAATTAGCGAGAAATAAAGTACTGAGCCAAGACTTAATGAGTTGATAATACTTAACTTAGTCTTGTCAGTTATCGACATACTTGCAACTAAACAATACACTGTTGATACATGAAGCTATTTTTATTTTCATTTCCTTCCTTCCTTTCTTAACTATAAGATTACAAACTTTAAATCAGATACTCTACACTTTATCAAACATCCCCCTGCTTTGATTCACAGCTGACATGCTTTTACATGTATTTGAATAGAGTGCAGATAGACGGAAAACATTTGGTAATGAATACAGACCCGAACAATGACGGTAGATGAAACAGATACACATGAAATTGCTTCCACACAGGAGAGAATTAAATCAATGTAAATATCGGTATACTCACATGTTTTAAACCGAGTTGTGGTGACAACGTTGATGGGGATACACTTCCTGTACTCCCAGGCGGTGTTGGTGTATTTCTGCGTAGACTAGCAGCAGGAGGAAGTACACTAGGAAGCACAGCGACTCCACCAACAAGTCCAGGACCTGGTTTCTTTCTTTTAGACAATGGTATCAGCGATAACGGCAAGGTAGACGGAATTACTTCTTTTTCTAATGCTCTGTATACTAAGTACATTGCCTACATCAATAAACAGATAATTTTTAACGATTAGATGAATCTTGTTTTAATTTTTTTTGTGATAGGCTAATTCCAGTATAGGTAAGCTAATTAGGTAGGCTGACTGTCCATTAGGTCCTTTAATTTCCAAAGTATGTATGCCAAGTTTTAACAAAATCCTTCAATACACACCCAAAAACTGGTATTAAAATAGCAAAAATGTTTGATTCAAATGAAGTTTTAGCACTAAATGGCCACCATTTGACTATCTTGAATCGAATCATGTAACAAATGCACATGCAAATGTAAGCTAAGATATATGATGTGTGTGTGATGTTTGAACGGTCCAGGTATGTTAGGCAGACTGGTGGAAACGCATACATGCACGCACAGAAGTTAATCCATGGGTTACTGTTTACAGGCAGTGTCCAAACAGAACTAACAAAACAGACTGAGTAGATACTTGGTAGTTCCCATGACAAAAAATATTCACTAAAAATTTAATTTAATTTGATAAAATAAACAAATCTGACAGAGCTCAAACCAAAGTTCAAACATATCATAACATTATTGCAGGTTGAGAATAACATTTTTGTACACAGTCACTGTCATGAAATAAACAAAACCAAGAAAGAGTGACCCATGGTACCAGCTTGGTAGGTTTAAAGGCAACTGAAAATCCAAATGTTGACCTGATTATGATGATGATGAATCCAATATCTTACCACAGAGAATTCATCTTTATCCAAATAGCCGTCATTGTCTATATCACTCAGATCCCATACCTGAACAGTAAAATATTAATAAAATCAGTGCTTTCTATATTAGACATGACTCCACTGTCACAGTGCTAACTCCAATGTCACAGTGCTAACTCCACTGTCACAGTGCTAACTCCACTGTCACAGTGCTAACTCCACTGTCACAGTGCTAACTCTATTGTCACAGTGCTAACTCCACTTTCACAGTACAAACTCCACTTTCACAGTGCTAACTCCACTTTCACAGTGCTAACTCCACTGTCACAGTGCTAACTCTATTGTCACAGTACTAAATCCACTGTCACAGTGCTAACTCCATTGTCACAGTGCTAACTCCACTTTCACAGTGCTAACTCCACTGTCACAGTGCTAACTCCACTGTCACAGTGCTAACTCCACTGTCACAGTCTAACTCCACTGTCACAGTCTAACTCCACTGTCACAGTACTAACTCCACTGTCACAGTACTAACTCCAATGTCACAGTCTAACTCCACTGTCACAGTGCTAACTCCACTGTCACAGTGCTAAGTCCAATGTCACAGTGCTAAGTCCAATGTCACAGTGCTAACTCCACTGTCACAGTGCTAACTCTACTGTCACAGTACTAACTCTACTTTCACAGTACTAACTCTACTTTCACAGTACTAACTCCACTTTTACAGTGCTAAATCCACTTTCACAGTGCTAACTCCAATGTCACAGTGCTAACTCCACTGTCACAGTGCTAACTCCACTGTCACAGTGCTAACTCCACTGTCACAGTCTAACTCCACTGTCACAGTACTAACTCCAATGTCACAGTCTAACTCCACTGTCACAGTGCTAACTCCACTGTCACAGTGCTAACTCCAAT